GAGGAACGGTACAGCGGCAATGATTAAATAGATAAAATCTGAAACAGTAAGATGTGGTCCGTATGGGGCACACGTCATTTTCATTTAGCCCACATGTTATGTCAAACTGGGCCATTTTAATTGACACCCAATGTCAGGAGCACTACAAATTTCCCAGACAGTTGGTCCACATTTGCCTTTTACATGTGGTCCACAACAACTGTCTGGGCCAGAAAAAAAATCTACTGTGATACATTTCCTGGGATATTTCTGAAAACAGAGCAATCCTATTGGCCCACGTCTCATTCACACGGCACACGGTGTTTACTTTAATTAAAGTAGTTAAACATAAGGCAATGAAAAAGTCAATAATTATCGAGTCACTCATTATTTGTATTGAACATTACGTTTCAGTTTATTTGATGACTAAGTGATCTCACAGACGAGACGATGTTTCAGGAGAGAACGTCCCTGAGGACGAGCAGCTCGGCTCCAACGATCAGAAAAACACTGAGTATGACAACACCCCTGTCATCGACAACCTGCTGCTGACCAAAGGAGGAGGAGGAGTAGAACGAGGAGGAGGAGTTTCAGTCTGCAGCGACGAGAAGAACAAGTATGAGGAGGACATAAACAACCTCTATAAACAGCTGGACGACAAGGTGAGACCAGGTTCTTCACTCACCAGTTCTCTGTCCGTTCCATGTTGGACATCACTTGTTTTGATGTTGGCAAAACTGGTTCTAACAATTCTTTCTACAGGATGACGAGATCAACCAACACAGCCAGCTCGCTGAGAAACTAAAGGAGCAAATGTTGGACCAAGAAGAGGTTTGTCCCTTCAGCTGTCCTCTGAGTGCTGCTGATTGTGGTCTAAGACAGTGGAAACATGCTCTTTGTGTTCTCACATCTGCCCAGCTGCTGGCATCTACACGGCGAGATTACGAGAAGATCCAAGAGGAGCTGTGCCGGCTGCAGACAGAGAATGAGCTGGCCAAGGAGGAGGTGAAGGAGGTGCTGCAGGCATTAGAGGAGCTGGCTGTCAACTATGACCAGAAGAGTCAGGAAGTGGAGGAGCGGGACCAGGCCAACCTGCAGCTAATGGAAGAGCTACAACAGAAGACGGTGGGTCAACCGAACATGTTTTATTCCAAAGGGATCATTATTGAAATTATATATATAATTACAGTAAGTGCTACAGTACTTTCATTATAGATTAGTGAGATGACATATGGTCCAACACAATCAGAGTTGTCCTGCTGGTTGTCAACACAGCCCATAAATTCAAAACTACACCTAGTACTACAGTTCATTCCACCATTTTACTTCTAAACATCCTCAGAATATCAGTGCAAGTGCAAAGGAATATGAAACAATTTGATAGGAGACGTCACAGTTGTGTCCGACCTGATTAGAAACTCAGGTGTGTGTAATATATATAAAGGTCTGAACTCCATGATTATAGTACAAGTGGTACAGCATGAGGAACTGGTTCATGTTGTATTGCACTTGTTATAATATTTTAAACATGTTTGGAGACAAAATGTGTATTTTTCTGTAACAACATGTTTTAACTGGTGGATGATTTTAAAATTGGGGGGAGTGGGGCAACACCAGCTGTGTTAGGTGATATGTCCTCTACTGTCATAACGACCGTGCCTTCCCTGACCCTCATGACATCTAACCAGAAAATGTTTCTGTATTATAAAAAAGACTGGGTTTGGAGAACTCCATTTTCGGATGCTACAAATCCACAGCCAGGCTCACGGATGACTTCAAATCAGTGTGGGTAAATTTAACACTTGTGGGTGTGCGTGTGTGTGTGTGTGTGTGTGTGTGTGTGTGTGTGTGTGCTATCTCCAGGTACTGCTAGCTGCGCTGCAGAAGGAGCTGAGTCAGTTGCAGGAGCTGAGCGGTCTGCAGAGAAAGAGAGCGTCCGAAGTCCTGAATTTGTTGGTGCGAGACATCAATGATATTGGAGCCATCATTGGCACAAGTGATGTCAAGACCTCTATGGTGAAAACACAGACACACAGACACACAAGCCCACAGTTACACATTATTGACTACAGTTCAGGCCTCTGACATGTGAACCTGTCCTCCAAGTCCTCAGAGACCAATGGGAACGGCATGGCGGTGGAGGAGGAGTTCACTGTGGCTCGCCTCTACATCAGCAAAATGAAGTCTGAGGTGAAGTCACTCGTCAACCGCAGCAAACAGCTGGAGAGTGCACAGGCCGACGCCCACAGCAAGATCCAGGCCAATGAGAAGGAGCTGGCTTCCTGTCAGCTGCTTAATTCTCAGGTCTGCACCCTAGTGGTGATGACAGAGAAGTGTCGTTTTCACCTCATCTCCCTGACGATTGCACTTACTCTTTGTTGCCAAAAACTTGTTTGGAAGTGTGACTGAGGAAGAAGAGCTATATTTTTATGGTATCACCAGTTCCTGAGTTTCCTAGTTTAACTAGATGTTACTGTACCAAAAGAACTACAGACCACAAAAATCATAAAAAAACTCATTTTCTCCTATTTTTAAAACTTGTTCAAAAACAGATTCTTTTTTTTTTAATGCTAAAATGAAAGTCACACACCTAGTGGTAAAAGTCTTCTTATCAGAGGATCACAGGTTTGAATCCTGCTTTGCTGGTTGTCGTGTGATGCGCAAATACCAAAATAACCTCACTTCCTCCCATAGCTCCTCCTGCTCCCCAGGGATGTGTTAAATGTAAAGGACAAATTGTGTGTGTGTGTGTGTCTGTACAATATGTACACTGACTGATAAGGCCTCTTCTTCTTCTTTTGGTGTCCAGCACCAGGCCAAGATCAGGACTCTGACTGACTACATGCAGAACTTGGAGCAGAAGAAGCGGCAGCTGGAGGAGAGTCAGGACGCCCTGACTGAGGAGCTGGCCCTTCTGCAGGCTCAGGGTCGGTGCTCAACAAAACCACTGAAAGGAAAGAAAACACAACTCATACAACAAAGTCATTTGTTTTTTTCTGTTGATGCACAGAGAAAAGACATGAGATGTCCGGGCGAGAGAAGGAGGACAGCAGCAGATTGGACGTAGGCGAGGTCATTGCGGTGAATCAATGCTGTTCATGTGTCAGCTTGATCTAAACAGTGTTTAATATCTGCCGTTTTTATTATCCCGTTTTTTTAGAAAACACTGGAGGAGCAGCTGGAGAATCACAGAGAGGCTCACCAGAAGCAGCTGAGTCGGCTGCGTGGTGAGATCGAAGACAAGCAGCGGATGCTGGATGAGCTGACAGAGTGAGGAAGCACACCACAGTCAATACACCTCATAAAAACACTTGAACCAAGACGATCCATACTGGAAATTTAATCTAATTCATTTTAGGAAATTGTGATTTTCACTTTTGTTTCTCCTAAAAGCCTTTACCAGGGTCTGATGCTGGAGCAGGAGAGATTAATGTCTGACTATGAGAAACTGAAGGCCAAAGAACAGGAGAAGGACACAAAGCTGCAGGCGTTGTTGTACGTACTTAAGCCTGATCTTTAAGTCATAATGTAATTAGAAGAGCTTTAAAAAGTGTATGTTTTTTTTTTTCAGGCTGCTGAATGAAAAGAGGGAACAGGCAAGAGAAGACCTGAAAGGACTTGAAGAGACTGTGGTGAGTCTGAAAATGTACATATTCTGTGGTTTCAATGCAAAACAGGTTTTTGTTGTATACAAACTTATAAAATGACCAGTCTTGGACTTAACTAGAAAAGGTAAAGTCATTAGGTCATGCATTTTGCCTCCAAATGTGCTCAAAATGTTGTCACAAGGATAATGCAACTCTTCCTAACTAGACTATGACTCATTACTTATAATCTGTGTAAATGTTTTTCACTGAGACAACACTGACTCTTGGATATCTGAGTTCAAAGGGAAATATCTGGATTTGGAGCTTGTGTTAATGTTCCCTGATTGTTCTTCCAGGCCAAGGAGCTGCAGACCCTGCACAACCTCCGCAAACTCTTCATCCAAGACCTCACTGCAAGGGTTAAAAAAGTAAAATCACCAACCTTTACATGTGGACTCCATCTGTATGGTTTTCCACAACAAAATGATTTGCAAAAAATCTTTGATCCTCTGTTTCTTCTGGGTTGGTTAGAGTGCAGAGCAGGACTGTGAGGAAGGACTTTGCAATGTTGCCCAGAAGCAGAAGATCTCCTTCCTAGAGAACAACCTGGAGCAGCTCACCAAAGTCCACAAACAGGTAAAAGACAATAAAACACAGGAAAGATGACGTCGCAAATCTGTGCAATCTCTGTTCAGGGCAACACTGCCATCTACTGGTCTGAGGTCCGATGTGGAACATCTCTGGATGGATGCAATTTAAAACTGTTCATGGAGCTACTATATATGTATATATATATATATATATGTGCGTGTGTGTATGTGTGTGTCAGTTTGTGTATGTTATTGTGTGACTGTGTAAAAACAAAACAGCTGATCCAGTAAATCGTGCAGTTTCACAGGACTTGTGAATATTGTCATAACATGGAGTTAGGGTGAGAGGATTCTCATTGCACCATGGGAGTTGCCCCAGGAGTCTAGGCCTACAGCAGCAGGACTTGGGGGTTACTGTTTCTTACCTGTCTTATTAGAAGACAGTTTTTTTTCTTTTGCAAACTTTATTGAACTTCCACGTTGTCTACAGCTGGTTCGAGACAACGCAGATCTCCGCTGTGAACTGCCCAAGCTGGAGAAGCGTCTTCGCGCGACAGCCGAGCGAGTCAAAGCCCTGGAGAACGCCCTGAAGGATGCGAAATTGAACGCTATGAGGGATCGCAGGAGGTACCAGCAGGAGGTGGAACGTATCAAAGAAGCCGTGCGAGCCAAGAACATGGCCAAGAGGATGTACTCTGCTCAGATTGGTGGGTTTTCATCCAACAAAAGCCCCAAACTATACATGTCTGATTCTAATATTTACCTTTTGTTTTGTTTTTGTTTTACCAGCGAAACCCATTCGTCCAGGCCATCATCCCCTGTCGTCTCCTGTCAGCAGTGGCATCAGAGCCGGAAACGTCTACATCCACAACCAGTAAAACGCAGCAGCCAAACATCATCAGCCTGTGAGTGCTTTTGAAACCATACTATGTCTTACAGAGTCAAATGAGTTCATTACAAAATGGAGACTGAATTCAGACTTCTGTTCGTTCTTTCCTGCAGACAGACCAGAAGCAGTTCAACGCATGTCACTTCACTCTGTCAGCACTGGGAAATAACTAAAACATTATGCAAATCCACACATTTCATTTGGTGAATGTAAAAAAATCATCAGGCCTCACAATATAACATGTTGTGCTTATATAACAGTATATTATGTGATATTTTATAAGCGCGGCCTTGGGTATTTTCTTTTCCCTCTTCAAGTTAAACTAATTATTTTTTCCTATTTTTGGCCTTTTTGTGTTCCTATCAACTCTTGAACCAGCATTTCTTCCACTGCAGGTGTTGGATGAGGAAAAGTGGAGGGTTACATTCACTTTATGCAACCAAAATACAGAGTAAAAAATCCTATTATATTTTCAAAATAAGAAGCATTTATTTTTTTCTCACCGCACAAATCCCTCTTTATTTGCATTTCTTCATAAAACCTTTTTTTCTTTCTTTAAGCTCATTGTATTTTTTGTCTTTTTACACATGACAATCATTAAAACACCCTCATCTTCTATAAAAAATATTTACATAGTCTAATCTTTATATATAAATCTGTATGATTTAACATTGTAACAGGGACTTGATAATATAAATACAAAACGACATTATATAATTGATTCAACCATGTATTAAACAACAAGACCAATAAACCAGTAGTATTTCTTTTTTTACCATTTTTGCCAAATTTTACATTTTGACTTTAGTAATGTAAAAATTAAGAAATGTATCTTATCAAGTCAGTGGCAGAACTGTTGCCCTGCAGCCATGCTGATCGACCAATCAGATGTTGCTCAGGCTGAAAAGCAGTAATTGTTTATGTACTTGATAAATTATCAATATTTTTTTCCATTTTACCTTTTCAAGCTAATTTTAGATTAGGTTTTGACAGTGTTCTGTTATTCTATGAAGATTTGGACATATCTCTAACCAAATAGGCTTGTTTTTACCCAATACATTTTTCTGGCCCAAGATTCCTTGACAAAAGGAACAGGTTTTGTTAATGTTTATTGGTCTTAGTTTGAATTCTGACTAAATATGGGCCCAAAAGCCCAAAAATCCACACTAACTGGCTAAAAGAGTTGTGTCACCCACTTTTTGTGCCTCAACTTCCAGAAAAAACGACTCCTGTTGATACATTATTGCAAATTGGTGAAGCTATGAGTTGCAATCCACAAGTCCAGTTTCACCCTCTAGTCCAAGTTGTGCTGTAGGTTTTGTGTGTCATTTGTTGTCAGTGTGCTGCCAGTTGCTTTCAAATGTACGTTTTTGTTACTGTATGTTTTGTTCGATGCTAGAGCCAGAATAATGTCTGGCTCTGAGGGTTCCACGGTGGCTGTTTGACGGCACGATGAATGTATGCAAGTGCATGGATAAGATCTTGTGACAAAGGCATGCTCAGGGAGGACAAACGATTTTCACATGTTCATGCAAGTGATGTAAAATGTATCTTTGGACACTGTAACTTCTCTTTGTTGCTCTTCCTTTCTTCTGTTGCTGGCATCATGTTTCAGAATAAACCTTGAAGAGATGCAACTAAAGCACATCTCGACGGCTTCCTTTTCTGCAAAAATGAGAAGACATGCGCTGCTCTGGGGCATTGTCGTATCATCTTTAATCCCCAAGTCATAGATTTCTCTGTGTAACATTGCACATTGTCATCATCATCGTCATAATTAATCAGCCTTTGGACAGTACAGACAGATAGTGTGGGGCTTTCTCCAGGCTACAAGGAAAATCATAAAAAACAATAAATAAAAGAAAATTCTGCACACAATCACATAGAAATTCTACATAGAGAAAACAACAATGTTATAGTACGTTTAAGTTATTTATTTTATATTTCCTTTCATTCAACACAATGCTGGTGGACGGATGCTTTTAAAATCTGGATTTATTTTTTAATACAACTGCAAATTAAATATCTGGAGAAGGTCTGAGAATTTTTTGAAGAAAATCCTAATTTAGCATGTTGTTTTTGGTCAGATGTTGAAAAATTATGATATACATTTTTTACAAAACATTTCTCCTTTAATTAGATTATTTTGAGGATTTAAAAAAAAGGTTTTCAAATCTGCAAAGTTTTCGAAACTTTCTGAGAATATTTTAAATAAATTATAAATTATTCTGCAGCATTTTATTTGCATTTAATTTTGGTCAGATGTTGAAGAATTATGATGAAAATTTGTGGAAAAAAATGTATATTGGCTGCATCTTTCTCATCAAATTTGAGCATTTTGAGAAATTATTCAGATTTATTTTCTGAATTTTTCACAATATTTAGTTTTTATGAGAATTTTTGAAAAAAAAATCACATTTTGTTTTTGCATGTTTCTTATCAAATTAGAGCATTTTTAATTTTAATTCTCCTTGAATCGCAACCTTAACGTGGTGGAGGGGTTTGAGTATCCGAATGAACCTAGGAGCTATGTTGTCGGGGGCTTAACGCCCCTGGTAGGGTCTCCCAAGGCAAACAGGTCCTAGGCGACGGATCAGACAAATAGCGGTTCAACCCCCCCTTTGTGATGAAGAAAAATACAGCTAAGAGGTTCACGTCGCCCGGATTGGCGTCACCGGGGCCCCACTCTGGAGCCAGGCCCGGGGTTGGGGCTCGCAGGCGAGCGCCTGGTGGCCGGGTCCTTGCTCACGGGACTCGGCCGGGCTCAGCCCGAACAAGCGACGTGAGTCCGCTTTCCAGTGGGCCCACCACCCGCAGGAAGGCCCACAAGGGGCCGGTGCCTTGTGATTTGGGTGGCGGTTGTGGGCGGAGACCACGACGGCCCAATCCCTGGACAACCACTCTAGCTATGGGGACATGGAATGTCACCTCGCTGGGGGGAAAGGAGCCTGAGCTCGTGCAGGAGGTTGAGAGATACCGACTAGATATAGTCGGGCTCACCTCCACGCACAGTTTGGACTCTGGGACCCAACTCCTTGAGAGAGGCTGGACCCTTTTCTACTCTGGAGTTGCCCGCGGTGAGAGACGGCGTGCTGGCGTAGGCTTACTTATAGCCCCCCAGCTTGCCAGTCGTGTGTTGGAGTTCTCCCCACTGAGTGAGAGGGTCGCTTCCCTGCGCCTTCGGGTCAGGGACAGGTGCCTCACTGTAGTTTCGGCCTACGGGCCGAACAGCAGTGCAGAATACCCGGCCTTCTTGCTGACACTGAGAGGAGTACTGGACAGTGCTCCTCCCGGGGATTCCATCGTCCTGTTGGGGGACTTCAACGCCCACGTGGGCAACGACAGTGACACCTGGAGGGGCGTGATTGGGAAGAACGGCCTCCCCGATCTAAATCCGAGTGGTGTTTTGTTATTGGACTTCTGTGCTAGTCACAGTTTGTCCATAACAAACACCATGTTCAAGCATAAAGGTGTCCACCAGTGCACTTGGCACCAGGACACCCTAGGCCGGAGGTCAATGATCGACTTTGTAGTCGTGTCATCTGACATCCGGCCGTATGTATTGGACACTCGGGTGAAGAGAGGGGCTGAGCTCTCAACTGATCACCACCTGGTGGTGAGTTGGCTCCGCTTACGAGGGGCAAAGCTGGATAGACCTGGCAGACCCAAACGTATCGTGAGGGTCTGTTGGGAACGTCTGGCAGAATCCCCGGTGAGGGGGGCCTTCAACTCCCACCTCCGGGAGAGTTTTGAACAGGTCCCGAGGGAGGCTGGAGACATTGAGTCTGAGTGGACTATGTTCTCCACTTCCATTGTTGATGCGGCTGTCCGAAGCTGCGGACGTAAGGTCTCCGGTGCCTGTCGTGGCGGCAATCCCCGAACCCGGTGGTGGACACCGGAAGTAAGGGAAGTAGTCAACCTCAAGAAGGAGTCCTATCGAGCCTGGTTGGTTCGTAGGACTCCTGAAGCAGCCGAAAAGTACAGGCAGGCCAAGCGGACTGCAGCTCGGGCAGTCGCGGAAGCAAAAACTCGAGTCGGGGAAAAGTTCGGGGAGGCCATGGAGGAGGACTATCGGTCGGCCTCGAAGAAATTCTGGCAAACCATCCGGCGCCTCAGGAAAGGGAAGCAGTTTCCCACCAC